AAAAACAGCTTCTGCAGACGCTGTGTGATGTTCTGAATGTTTATAATATGCTTGCGGCAGATGGACGCGAGTCACTTTCTGTATGTCCGAAACCAAAAGATTCAGTTAAAGCAGAATGACCGCGATGTGCGGAAGTCTTTCCATTTCGTAAACAAAACAGCAACTCGATGACGCAAGCGTACCGGGGTTCAGAAGGAAAAAAGACAGTGTGAACACAAACCAACCGAGGAGGTGGCAGGGGGAGACAATCGAACTTGGGTACGGTCCAGGCAAATGAGCCAAGTGTGAAAGTTGCAGGAATCCTGCGCTTCAGCAGTGTGTCCCACTGTTTATGAATGAAGAGAATGCGCTGTTTAGTTTCACCTCAAGTTCTTTAACTAAAAACTAACACCAAACTGCTTCGCACGCTCGCTAAAATGCTCTTTTTTTTGTACAATATATTTATTACTTTTTTCAATTTGCATATCACAACAGATTACATAATTACAGAACAATAATCATGAAGGCACAGCAAACTTTTACCCCCCATTCTTCCTCCCAACAACCCATTCCCTTAAAAATAAATAAATAAATAAAATAAAATAATAATAAATAAGTAAATTGATCAAATAAAAAAGCAAGTAAATAAAAATTTATTAAAAAGAAAAAAAAGGGTAAAAAAATGCTCTTGTCAGTTGCACCCCGGATGCACAATGAACCTAACACGCCATTCTTTTATTCGAGGTTTGTGAAGGACGTGAAACAACCGCAGACGCTTTCTCAAGTTGGTCGCGACACCCTGCTTTATAACTTATTAGTTTATTGCAGCAATTACACTTAGCTTTGCGTCGTTCTTCACCACGTGTAGCCACACCTTTGAGCTCATCTTGTGGTCCATGTCTAAACAAATGTTTCGATTATTATTGAAGGTGCTCTCCAGCGGCGAAGTTCCCGGCAGAGTAGCGAGTGGGGGAAAAAATGTGCAGGAATCGGACAAGAGGAATAAAAATTTAAATTGTAAAACAAGTATCTAATCCCTGCCAAGTTTTATTACAAGTTGGGTTTTTTAAATTCGTGGCTTGGAAGTTTATTAATAAAAAAAATATGCAAGCGAAACTTTCACCTTGATATTTTAGCGCGGCTGAATTACGCTGTTGGTGGCGAGAACGAGTCTTCGAATCTGTGGATATTCCTACTGTGAAATGACCACATCAAACATGTCGTGCTAATATGGATGCAGTACACTAGAGTGAAACTGATTAATGTTAGCTCCACATCTGACTATCAGGCACCTGTAGAGTTTGAGTTCCAGTAAAACGTATACAAATAAAATGGACATGGTGTTTTTAAAATGAATGACGGTGAATGAAGTCAAACCGGTGAGCCGTCTGACAAAAAAAGTGCCCTTCTGAATCAAATCAGCCGGATACCCTTTTGGTTCTTTCCCTTATTTCAGAGACACTACAGACTACGCTTGCATGGACATCTGTAATCTAGTTATTCACCTTAATAGACAATAATATAATTAAGGTGATTACGTGAAGTGCTTACATGTGAGAGTTTTCTGTCATTTTTGGTGACTTTAACTGCAGTTCGGCGTTTATAACCGATTAATGGTATCAGTTAAACGTTTGGCTGCATAAGGGGCCGATAACAGCGAATGCACTTTTTGCGTTGAGAGGGGCATCTGTTGAATGTTTTATTAATGGCTGCGAGTGTTTTACACGCTGCTTATGCACCCTGGGCGACTCACATTTTGCTCTTGTGTGCTCAAGCGGAAAAAGTGTTACTTCAGTCGCGTCTTTTTCATTCATCAATAAAATCAAAGCACTGGAGGGTTTCTGTTAGGGTGACGGCAGTGTTTGTGTTGTCAAGACGGCTACGGCAAACTTTTTGTAATGATAGAGGAGAGACTTGTGGTCGCCGTTTCAGGTTATTCAGAGCTGTATTACTTTACAGATCTTGAATATCACCATGTTATTAAAAATTACAATTATAACATCGACAGCAACACGACTATGGGTCAGCTAATTCAGTATTTTCCTAGTGACATACAAAAGAGCATGATGCCTCTTTTTTTGTCAACATAAAAGGCAGTACGGTGCGCCTCGCATTTTTGGAACAGAAAGGTGTGCTCTTTGTGATCGGCCCCTAAATGTGCAACGTATTTATAAACTCACGGGACAGTAACACGTGCATACACGAATGTCTACAGACATATTTTGCCTAAGAAGCAAAATGAAAGAACAATCTTTCTGGTCACAGTTTGACACAGGTGAGTTGACATAAACCAGCGCTGACGCTAATCGCCTCTGTGCTGCATGGAGCCGCGTCATAAACTTAACAAACAAACTATTGAGGATTTAGTGTACAACCAACAAACCAACCTTTTTCCATTTGGAAAATTATTTTAAAATAACCTACAAATCAAACAAATCCAAAGATTTTCTTGATTTTTGTATAATGATAACTTCGCACCAAACTGAGGCTGTCATTTTACAGCTTATAAAACCTTGAGATGGAGGAAATAAGTCATAATCATAAGACAATCTTTAATCTAATGACTATTAAAAATGTTGACCGAGGTTTTGTGAAATAATAATAACAGCGGAGCATTAATTAAATGCATATTTCCTGTGGAGCGATCGATTTTTCAGGTAGCCTGATATTTTTATTTCATGGAAGATAAAAAAAACAAAGATTTTTTTTTTACATCCTCGAGCTTGGACTCATCAGTGTCGATACATGTTTCGCATTGTCCACAGCCCAAGATTTTGGCTGCTTGCACTATTGAAATGGACGTTTGGCATTAGTGCGAGTGACCAAAAGTTGGCTATAGCAGCCTAGCCCTGTATATTGAGTTCCTGATGAATAGTTTTGGTTGATACAGAATAGTGTAATTTAATTCTGCAGTGAGTTTGGCTCCTTATCCTCCTTTTTGGATAAAATGTTGGTTGGCCCCAGGATGTCCCTTTCAGACAGCTTCCTCTTGCATCCACACAATTACTCCTGTTGGATGTGGTTTGTCCTTTTTGGTGGTATGCTGCCTTTATCCTGGATACTGTGGCGCTTGATCTAAGACCTGCTGTCTTGGTCATAGATTGAGACACACTAACAATTTGTCCTCTTTTTTTACTTCGATATGTCTTCCATAATGTTGTGTGCATTGCAATAGTTCAAACTGAATGAAGTAAACCTGTTCCTGTTCGCTCGCTGCTCTCGGTGTAGACACATCCCTTCTGTCGCAGTGGTGGGCAGATCTAGCTGGCAGCCACCCCTCTTGTATGGTCTCAGGGAGTGGTCTGGGGGAAGAAGATAACATGGACACAAAGACAAGGTATAAGTCCCAGTAGGGTGATTTATTAAGAAAGCAGAGCAAGGATAAAGTACACAGGGATGTGCATGGCAGTGCATTCAGCGCCAGAGAGTTTGGTGTCTGTGCTTGGTGAGGTTTTGGTCAGGGTGCTCTGTGGGAGAGAAGAGCAAAGTGAGAGTCCTCCTATCATCATGCTCGCAGTCTTCCTCAGTGCAGATGAAGGGCACTAAGTTGATGGATTGGGGCACTGGGGGTTTGTAAGATGTCAAGGGGAAGTACTTTGGCAGCCTGGACAATGCTGGCAGTATCGACACACCTGTGGTTCTGGTCCTAGACCGTAATACCTCTCTTAGAATTGTAGGAGGGTTGCTGTCACCCTGCAATGTCCTTTTGGCTGCCCAGATTTTTTTTGTAATGATTTTCACCCAGATTTCGGTGAAGGTGTAGGTGACTTCTCATCCAGTCGTGAGGGAGCTGCGGATCTGTGTTCTGGATATGTGGTGTCCTTTGCAGGTTGTCATTTCTAGGGTTCTTCCGCTCTCTCTCTCTCTTGCATCCTCGAGATTGAATGCTTCTGATACCTTAATGCCTGACATCAGCTCTGGCTAGGTGGTACAGTTGAGGAGAAGGACGAGTTGTTGCTGAGAGGGCAACGCCTGCAGCAGGCAGTAGATTATTAGCCTTTCATCAACCTGGGTGGCTGAAGATTGGTTTTCTAACGGACAAAGGTACCAACTCCAGTGCCTGCTCTTTGGCTGAGACAGGCTCGTCCAGCACCCACTACTGGAACCTGTGCACCAAGCACTCTCCTGCTGAGCTGAGAATAGCCAAGAACTCACAATGTTTCTCAACCACCTGCCTCTTCTCACTCCCAGGGACAACGTCTGTGAACTGGTTGTAAAGGCTCTCCAAGTCCTTGAGCTGGAGGAGGGTGTCGTCTATCTTCAGCCCCAGGTGCAGGTGGTGAAAGTAGAAAGAGAGTGGGACCCTATGTGAAAAAAAACAGATGTTAATACCTGTGTCACGTGTGACATCTCAATCCGCCCGCTTTCTCCATCAGTTGTCGCAGATGAGAGATCACACGAACACAAAAACAAGGTATAAATCCCAGTATGGTTATTTAATTAGAAAGTGGAGCAAGGTTAAAGTGTGCAGGGCAGTGCATTCAGTGCCAAAGAGTCTGGGGTCCATGCTTGGTGAGGTGCCGGTCAGGTTGCTCTGTGGTCCCCATAATTATTGACTGCATCGGTTAATACTCTCTCAACGAGATGCATGCTGCTGATTTGGGTGAGGGAGCCATCTCCATGGCCAGGCTGACAACTAATGGGCAGTTTAAGACATTTCTTTGTTTTTTTTTTCATAAACCTCTTGTCATTAAAGCTGCTGTTTAAACTGTCCTATGATGTGACTAAATTAAAAAGAAAAATCATTAATTAACACCTTTGCTGTTTATATCTGAGACCTGTCCACCAATTGAATGATCCGCAAAAGGTTTTTAAAATCAGTTTTAAATGAGTAAACCCTTTTATGTGAGACATTGAGTACTTCTTCAAAAAAAAAAAGAAAATGCCATCTCAAGATTTTTTTAAAGGAGCAGAGGACCCAATACTGAGCCCTGTAGCACTTCATGGTTTCAATATTCTGTGTTGGTATTCATGTCTGTTGTGTCTTTGAGTCGAGGTTAATTGGTCTTTTTTCACTTTAGGGCTGATGGTGCAGAAAGAAGAGACTTCGTACCTGAATCAAATGGAAGAGAAAGATCAGAATGAGAAACACCAAGATTTCTTACCTGATGAACCATCCTCAGTGACCAAAAACACTTGTGAAAGTGCTGAGAAAACCAAATCTAACAGTTATATCCCTTGTCCGGAGTGTGGAAAACAGTTTTGTCAGAAATCAAGCCTTGAAGCTCACATGAGAATTCACACCGTAGAGAGCCTTATAACATGTGATCAGTGTGGAAAGAGTTTCTCTAGAAAATCATATTTCGACAAGCACAGGAAAACTCACACCAAAGAGAAGCCTTACTGGTGTACCGAGTGTGGAAAGCGATTCAGTCAAAAGAACAACCTTACAGTGCACATGAGAATTCACACCGGAGAGAAGCCTTTTCCCTGTCAGTATTGCGGAAAGAAATTCAGGCAAATGCAAAACCTTAAGGCTCACATTTCTGTCCACACCGGAGAGAGGCCTTATAACTGGCAACCATGTGGAAAGAGATTTACTAAAGTAGAAATCCTTAAAGAACACACAGGAATTCACACTGAAAAGAATCTTTTAACGTGCGATCAGTGTGGAAAGTGTTTCACTAGAAAAGCAAGTTTTGACATCCACATGAGAATTCATACTGGAAAGAACCTTTTAACGTGCGATCAGTGTGGAAAGAGTTTCACTAGAAAAGCAGGTTTTGAAATCCACATGAGAATGCACACCAAAGAGAAGCCTTACTGGTGTACCGAGTGCGGAAAGCGATTCAGTCAAAAGCACAACCTTGAGGTGCACATGAGAATTCACACCGGAGAGAAGCCTTTTCCCTGTCAGTATTGTGGAAAGAGATTCAGGCAATTAAAAAACCTTAAAGCTCACATCACTGTTCACAAACAGAAGCAGTATGCCTGCCAACAGTGTGGAAGGAGTTTTGCCCAAGCAGAAAACCTCCAAGTCCACATGAGTGTCCACACTGGAGAGAAGCCCTACTCTTGCACGCAGTGTGGCAAAAACTTTAAATGTAAATACAACCTTACTTGCCACATGAAAATTCACACTGGAGAGAAGCCGTTCACGTGTGATGAGTGTGGAAAAGGGTTTAGGCGTAAATTTCACCTTAAACAACACATGTGGCTTCACAGAACAGATAAATTATTTACATGTGAGAAGTGTGGGAAGAGTTTTGTGCGTGAAGATTACCTTAGCGAGCACATGAGGGTTCACACAGAGAAATCTTTTAAATGTGATCGATGTGGAACGGGTTTCTCTTATAAGAGGAACCTCAAAGTACACATGGCCAGGCATTCACCCAAAGATGACCCCCAATAACATTCATCTAGATTTGCCCGTGTGAGTATATTTCTGCCAATTAACCTAGCAAGAAACATTCAACACTACTGTGTCTCTGTTAACCGTATGGTTGTTTAATTCACCCGGATGTGTTGTTTGTTGTGTTATGTTCGTTATTTTGAAATAAACCTATTATTAAGATACACAATTTGACCAAATCACACATGAGTTATCGATTCATATGTGTGGCTCCGGTGCAGTGTTCTTATGCGAAACCATGCCAGAGTTCACATGAACTGCTCCCCAGACCACACTTTTCAGACAGACTCAGGAATGATTCACAGGTGCGATTGTAACTTTGTTTGTACGAACTTGTCACGATACTTGAATTTCAGTACATTTACATTTAGTGATTTAGCGGACGCTTCTATCCAAAGCGACTTACAAATGAGGACAAGTGAGCAATTTACACAACTTTTAATAGCAACAATGAATACGTGATGTAGGCAAGTTTCAGGTTTGTAAAGTGTAAGAAGCAAAACAAAATTTTTGTTTGTAATACAGTTAACGGTAGAACCAGAGAGGCAGTGTCAGATTAGGAAGGAAAGTGAAGACTAAATAGTTAAGTTTTAGTCGTTTCTTGAGGCAGCGAGTGACTCTGCCGTTCTGATGCAGTTAGGGAGTTCATTCCACCAACTGGGCAGACTGAATGCGAGAGTTCGGGAAAGAGGGATTTCTTCCCTCTTTGGGATGCAACCACGAGGCGACGTTCATTCACAGAACGCAAGTTTCTGGAGGGCCTATAAATCTGCAGAAGTGAGAGCAGATAAGAAGGAGCAAAGCCAGAGGTCGCTTTGGAAGCAAACGTCAGAGCTTTGAATTTGATGCGAGCAGCAACTGGCAGCCAGTGCAAACGGATGAGCAGCGGAGTGACGTGCTCTTTTAGGTTCATTGAAGACCACTCGTGCTGCTGTGTTCTGAAGCAGCTGAAGAGGTTTGATAGAGTTAGCTGGAAGCCCCGCTAGTAGAGAGTTGCAATAGTCTAGTCTGGAGAGAACAAGAGCTTGAACAAGGAGTTGAGCTGCATGTTCAGATAGGAAGGGTCAGACCTTTCTGATGTTATAGAGTGCGAATCTGCACGATCGAGCAGTTCTAGAAATGTGGTCAGAGAAGTTTAGTTGGTCATCAATCGTTACTCCAAGGCTTTTCACTATTTTGTATGCAGTAATGGTTGCCCCGTCCATCTGGATTGAAAAGTTATGGTGTAGAGTCGAGTTGGCAGAAACTACAAGCATTTCTGTTTTCGTGAGGTTAAGCTGAAGATGATGATCTTTCATCCAGTGTGAAATGTCCGACAGGCAGGCTGAGATGCGAGCTGGAACCGAGGGATCATCAGGGTGAAAAGAGAGGTATAGCTGGGTATCATCAGCATAGCAGTGGTAGGAGAATCCATGTTTCTGGATGACTGGTCCTAGAGATGTCGTGTAGATGGAGAAGAGAAGTGGCCCAAGAACAGAGCCCTGTGCTACCCCAGTGTTTAGATGCTGTAGGTTGGACACCTCTCCCCTCCAAGACACCCTGAATGATCTGTCAGAGAGGTAAGATCTGAACCATTGAATAACTGCCTGCAAAGCCCAGTGACTCAAGCGTAGATAGCAGGATCTGGTGGTTGACAGTGTCAAAAGCAGCTGACAAATCCTACAAGATGAGGACTGATGATTTAGAGTCTGCTTTAGCCAGTCTGAGATCCTCCACGACTGAGAGCATGAGTATTGCCAAGACAGGCGACGGCGATCACTCAACGCAGAAGTATAAATCAGATTTTAGGATGTATTTACACTAGGTTGCATTGAACCGTGTTGGGGCAGGATTGTTCCCCTTTTCCCTCTTTCCCCTTGGCCTGCACTCACATTGCATTTTACTTTCCGAGCCTGAGCAAGTCTACATCATCGATGATATGACTGTTTCGTTTAACAGATGTGAAGCGATCCCACTCCATACAATGGAGATTGTGTTCGTTCTATTTTGTATCAGTTTAAGTCTTTTGGGATGCAGTGACTTGGGGCCCAATCCCAATTCCACCCCTTAGCCCTTCCCCTTAGCCCTCGTTTTGCGCGTTCATGTGAAAGGGTAGGGGTGTCCCAATTTTAGCTTGAAGGTTTATGGCTAAGGAGAAGGGGTAGATACCCCTTTGAACAGAAATTTTTCAGGACCACACTCTAAACCAAGGGGTGGGAAAATTTCCCAGAATACACCAGCCACAATGGCAGAATAGCTGCCCCCGGAAGGAGATCCACAAATTCCATTAATTTCAACAACAACTAGGCATGTTTTAATACATTCATAACCGTGTTTGTGTTCAACCATCATGATTAAAAAAATAAAAATAAAAACCACTTAAAAACTCGCTAGATATAATCCATTTGAACTTGGAATGATAAAAAGTCATCTGTTACGTGTAAATTGCTTTCAAAGTATTTTTATAGTTCAGTTTTAGTGATCTTCATATTGACAATTGCGCTTTTTTTTTTTTTTTAAATGCGTGTGCATGTAAAACAATTTAATTATCCACAAAAAAGTATGAGGTTTTTCTCTAAATAAGTTGTTACTCCCCCCTGTTTAGAGCATCAATATGAACGTTTTACATTATAACTAACATCGTTCAAACGATGAATCTGCAACAAAGCAACTACTGTTTTGGGGAAACACTCGTCACTACATTGTTCTTTTGCCAAATGATGCATTGTACTATGATAGTTCGGCCACGAGTTGTCGATGTTTGGGAAACGCTCGCCTGATTAACAGTTGCTCCTCTAGCCATTCAGATAAAGGGGGAGCTGACGTCACTTCAGTGCAACCCATGGCTGGTCAGAATGGCATTTGTATTAATAATTCAGACTTTAAGTGTGTGTGTGTATATATATATATATATGTATGTATGTGTGTATGTATGTATATATATATAAATAAATATATATATATATATATAAATAAATATATATATATATATATATATATATATACTGTATATATATATATTTTTTTCCAATACATAATAATCTCAAAGAAACCATAGATTGTGTGACCCAGAACTTAACCCTATGTGTTTTAAAAAGTTACATATATACAACTATCTTCGCCTTTCCTTAACAGTAAATTGTTCTTCATGTTAGGTTCAACGTGTCTTGGTTTTCATTAAGTTGTGTAAATGGTCTCATGGTTATTATTGCACTCACACAACCCATTTGCATGTTTTTTTAATCTTATATAATGTACTTTTGAGTCCTGTATGGTGAAGATTCATTCTTGTGAACGTGTCTTTTTCATTTTTGCTTTTCCTGTTTCCCTACCCCTTTATCCCGAATAGTGTAATCTTGACATCCTGTGTTCCCAATATTCCATAGATGTTGCCATTACTTTTCTTAAAACTTTCGTTTTAACCACGCTTTTGATTTACTGTATTTAAAATCAGTATCTGTTGTTGCTTGTTGTGCTGCTTGTTTAGATAAATTGTCTGCCGAACTCATTCCCACTGAAGCCTATATGTGCTGGTACCCATATAAATGAAATTGTGACTCCGGAATTTGTCAAAATATTTCCTAATAGTACAGTGGGAGTTATCGTAAGCTATTGTCTACTCATAATTTTTTAACACCCTTGTTCTCTCTCTCTCTGCACTGTTTTAAATCTGTTTGTGCTATATGTGATTAGCATTATTATCTCTCAGGTTAGCTCAATACACTAGAGCCAGCGGATCGCTTCTTAGGATTATTTTGTTTACATTTTATTAACAACAAATACAGAATTCTACAGTGATATACAAAAATATATGCCAGAGTGTACATAAAAACATTCAGTAATTAAGAATCTCATGTTCCTTAAGAATATTAAAAGTCTTCTTTGCTTTTTTTTATTTATGATGTTTTCCCCACTTGTGCAGTAGTTCTTAGTCTCTTGAAGGTAATGAACAATTTTTAGGAAGGTAATTTTTTGATGTTGAAATATGGCATCAATAACAATAGCATACTCTTTTTTTTTTTTTTTTTTTTTTTTTTTTAGTAACTGGAAAACCAAATTTATCAAAAAATTCATTGTAAAATAATAAATTACTATTTAAATTCAGAAGTTGTCTAACTGATACAATTTTCTTACTAATTTTGGAAGAAGAGAGATTTATTTTTATGTTGAGTACATCTATTATTACAAATAACATACTTGTTTGGGGAAAAATTCGGCTTGCATACCAGCATCCAGTCCAATAAAGCTTGTTTGTGAAGTTTAGCTAATCAAAAAAAAAAATCACATCTCAACAAAAAATTCTACAGCATCATGTCAAATATGTGTTTTGGAAATGTAAACCACATATGATCGTTTCGGAGGTGACTTTTATTTTGGCAGTGGTTGTGACGTTATAAAGGCTGCGTCGCGCAGAGTCCGTGCATCAGCGGAAAGAAGGAAGGTTTGTTTGTTTTACAAGCGACGCGAAGCTAAACGAGCTGTCATCAAATATAACGTAATATCTTACTAAGTTGACATTTATGTATACAAATAATAGATTGTATGAGTATACAGCGCACGTGAGTGACAGTAGTCTCGTTTCTCTCTGTATCGTGAATCTGTTTGTAAACATGAATCCAGTCACTGGCGAGTAGAGGAAAACTGCATATCAAAAATGATTTGAAATAAACGATTCACTGAATCGATCGAATCACCGCGCACTGAAGTCACCATCTAGTCAAGTCAGTGTAAATACACTCACATTAGTGGTTTAGAGTTTTCATGAACGTGCTATATTTATTACACTGGTCAATGTGTTTATGTGTTTATATTTATTTCTGTTATTTTTCTCATCTTAAACAGAGTGTCTAAACACACGAGACTTCTGGAGAAGCGACTAAGTAGAATCATCTATAAAAAGATGGCGTCTCTTAAAGAGGACAGTGAAGATCTGAGGATCACAGAAGTGTTCACACTGAAACATGAAGATCCTGAGGAACAAACAGGTTAGTTTTTACTTCTCAAAGCTGAACTCGGAGGCATTTAATCTTCAATCAAATGTGCAGCTTTAAATATTTTAGAGAAATCTCATATTAGTGTCTTGATGGCACAAAGTGATCAGACAAACACTAAAACTGGCTTCAGGTGAACTTGAGAAGATCCTGCTTATAGTTTGCTCAATGTCACATGCTCGGTTATTAATAATTTACCAGTCTGGAGTGTAAGAAAGGTGAACGAATTTTGAGTGGCTAGTGGAGGTGTCTGTCAAACCTGCCAAAGCTGCAATACCAGCATTTGGCGGGTGTTAATGTAAAGCCCTGCTAATAAATAATGTGAACTTAATCTATTTGAGTAAACGAAGCAATTTGACCACAGTAAAACCCAATAACTGAGGAAAACTCAAACCAACTGAGTACTGTAAAACCCAACAAGTTAAGGAAACTCAAGCCATTTGAGGTCAAGTTTGCTACAAACTATTTGACAGGGTTTCTGCAAGGACTTAATGTCTTAATGTCTTAAATCTCCAAATCCAAATTTTAGGCGTTAAAGTCTTAAATTGACGATAATACTGTGATGTAGACCTTAAATCTATTTTAACCATGTCTTAATTGTCCTTTTGTTTATGTATTGCTACACAATCTGGCCAAGACCCAACAAAAACTTAAACTTTTTGTTTAAAAAAGGTCATTTTAACTCTATTTATCGTAAATGGGTTAATTATTTTCCTTATAATGACATTTGTTTAAAGGTTCTCAATGTATTTACAGCTGAGCAAACTGACCTGGACAGATTGTTGTGCATGTGTGTGTGTGTGTGTGTGTGTGTGTGTGTGTGTGTGTATATATATATATATATAAATATATATATATATATATATATATATATATATATATATATATATACACACATACATACATGCATATATATATATATATATATATATACATGTATATATATTAGTTTATGATAGCTTTTAAAAACATTTTATTTTAAAGAAAATATATGTTTAAAATAAGTGTATGGATGCAACTAGAGCTTGCTTGTCTTTACACAATATTAAAAATATTTTGCTAGAAATAAAATGTAAAATATTTAAATAGTTTATTATTAAAGTATTATTGTATTATTAAATTTATTATTATTATTGTTGTTTTTTTTTGATAGGACAAATAAAAATCTTTTCCATCTGGGCCATTTGAAAAATGCCTTAGACTTTAGCCCTTAATGGGTCTAAATTTCCATTCATAATGGTCTTAATGTCTTTATATAAGTATATTAAAAACCTGCAGAAACTCTGATTTGAGTTAAAAATTGAGTACTGTTGAAGTAATGAGGTATTTTATTGACTCATTACCATCAACACTTTGAGTTTAGGGCTGCACAATTAATCATATTATTATCAGGATAACGATCTTCATGGCTCACGATCAATACATAAACATCGTCACGATTTTACAGTATAAAGACTAAGCTGTTATTTTAATGGGTGAATCGCAACACAAGCCTGAGGTGACTGTTTAGATTGCTAGTGTTATTTGGAGAAATGTATTGTTAATCGAGTAGCCTTTGCTCCTGTTCAGTCCAAACTTCCCAAGGTAACACAAAAAACCTCATTAACCACAGTAAAAGCCACCACAAAGTGGCTGTCATCAGTGGCTTAATGAGCTCAGGAGAATTCTGCTTTGCATTTTTCTATGCATTACTAACATCACTAAACCAGAGAGCTTTTGTTTTATTAGTTAAGTTAATATTTGTGGAGATTCAGCTGTTTTTTTTTCTGACGCGTTTGCCGGTCATGTAGACAGAAGACACTGTATCTAATTGTTTCAATGTAAACTAAGTAATTTTGACCCAGTTTCTGCGGGTATTCAGGTTAGTTTTCATCAATCTGATGTAACTTTTATTATTTAAAAAGTAAAGAAAATGTAATTAAAAGTTTTAGATCAATTAACTCCATTTATAAAAATACTAGCATATTTTATGCATTAAATAATGAAATAGAGAACTAATTTCCTTTATTTCCGACTAGACGATGCACTTTATTCAGTTTTACAGTTTTATTAGGTATATACTAGCGCTGTCAAAATTAACGCGTTAACGCATGCGATTAATTTTAAATAATTAACGCGTTAAAAAAAATTAACGCAATTAACGCAGTTCAGGTTTTTTACTTCCTGTTTTGGTGGACGTGTGTTCAACATGCATTAAATGTGGATAAGACCAAGGAAGCACTTTTTGAAGGCAAGTTCCAGTATAAAACAATTAGTTGCATCAGGTAATCCAGAGTTTCATGCAATTTCGGGTGTTTCATTTTTAACTTTCGACATCTGTTGTAAGTTGATACCGCATGGCAAACAGAAAGAAAATCCTCCAAATTTCGTGACTCTGTTCTTTTAAGGCAAGGTTCCTTTTAAGGCTACACGGTAGAATTTTAATAAGAGTATTATTAATCATATTCTTAATCATATTAAAATTGGAGTATTGGTGTCTTATGTAAATGTACTCAGTACGTCTGGTGAAGTCGCAAGCTGTCAAAGACAGGGCATTACTCTGCCTTTCAGCATGAGCCCTCCAAGTTTAGCGTGTTTCCTCATTAAACGCAACGAAAGCGTATGCTTCGCGTTGTTGTGTCAATCCTTGTGAAATAAAGTAATACTTTAGGGCGCTTAGTTTAAGCAAATTTGATGAACGTGATCATGCGTGTTGAATCTGAGGGGAGTCGCTCCAGTATGGAAGGCCGTTGGGGCCAAAACGTCTGCAGCGCGTTGTGTGTGTGTCTGTGTCAGGCCCGTTGAGTGGTGTCAGGGGTGGAGTGAGCGACGTATCTGAGAGGGGTGTGCAATGTATTTAACGACCGGTTTGCGAGAGATTATCATTCATTTGCGGGCATTTGGGAGTCTCTGTGCACTTGCGGGATATTCCTAGCAACTGGATAAATGTAAAGGAGGATTAAGCTAAATTGTTTCTACTCTATAACTAATGTTCTCAACTCACAGCAATAAAACTTTACAATGAGTGCATTCTATAGTTTATTATTATAATTTTCATTTTCCATATCTGCGATTCCTGTATTTTGGCATTTTTTTGCAGTCCACTTAGAATCCAACATGGAAATCAATGTTTTCTTTATTGTCATTGATTGTTTTGAAATTTAAATGTCATTAACATGCCTGTGTTTTCATTTCTGTAATAAATATGACTGTCAAGCCAGGATCTTGATGGTTTATTGTGGGTATGTTGTTTACATGAAGAAATCTGTGTTACAAGTTAAACAAAAATTCTATTAAACAATTATATTTTGAATTTAAATAGTTTTTGTCTTGCGTTTACATTAATTTTACATTTAAATAGGCAAAATTACAAGTTTTAGTATTTTAAATGCGATTAATCGCGATAAATTTTTTAAAAAGGTGCGATTAATTAGTTAATTTTTTTAATCGATTGACAGCACTAATATATATATATATATATATATATATATATATATATATATATATATATATATATAATTAGTGTGGGGGTCGTTATCTCACTCTTAAGACTATTCTACACAAGCTATGATGACTTTCACCTTGATATTTTAGCGCGTAGATGTATACCTGGCCGATTTGTACTGTACAGGGCGGGAACGAGTCTTCGAACCTGTGTGTATTCCTACTGTGAAATTACCACATCAAACGTGACGTGATAACATGGATGCAGTACACTAGAGTGAATCTGATCAATGTTAGCTCCACATCTGACTATCAGGCACCTGAAGAGTTTATGCGTTCCGGTAAAACATTTACAAATAAAATAGACTGGTGAGTCTGACAAAAAAAAGTGCCCTTCTGAATTAAATCAGCCGGATGGTGATCTTTCACTTGGATCTTGTAAGAAAATCTGGCGAATAGTCCTACATGACGGTAATAGTTTGATCGCGGTGTTTACTTCAATAATGCCGCTAATATAAGCATACTCCACATGTCCCAATTCCATTACTGTTAGTTCAGTCATGACTTTAGTCGGATTAAGGTGATCAAAAATCTCTGTTTGGAGCTTATGTAGGCCTACAGTTCAAAATTCATGTTTAACTGAATAAACCGTTAGTATACACAAGTATATCTCATTGAACATAATTTTTTTTTCATCACTAATTATCACAGTAGAACAGTTTCTCAAGCAGTTTGTAATGCATTTTGGAAACAGGAGATGAGCCCCTGGTCTAATGCGCCACCTGGCTTGAGAAAAATGTTCTCAAAGACTTACTTTTAGTCATTATTTGGGTAACACATATAGTCTGAATGCCTTCGGCAGAATTTAAATGAGCCATTTTAATCTAGATTAATTCCAAGATTACAGTGAGCTGAATCTAGATAAAAAAATTAATTATGCCCACATATTTAGTCTATGCCCACCACTATTTTTACAGTGTAACCATTGTAGAATGGGGATGTGGCACAGAGAACCATCTCATCAATAGTGATAAAACTGCATTAACATAGAGAGATACAGAGAACAGCTGTGTCAACAGCCTAGGAGCAACTTCATTACATCTAAAGGGAAGTCTGAAGGCAACATCTAAAACAGTATAAAAGGTTTGAGTTCAAGAATGTTTAGGGTTCATTCTAGCTCCTTTTCCACTAGCATACTGAACCGGTTTTTGTGCTGAACCGTTCCGTTCAATGCCAAACTGGGCCAGACAGCACGGATACAGTTTCATTTTCCACGCTGTAACAAAGCTCTTTTGAACATTAGACAAAACGCATCAGTAGTTGCCTTTTTTTAAGGCAATGTAAACAGCTCCCTTTTGTTCAATTCAATTGAAATAAAATTAGTTTTTTCATGTTCATGTGTAAAAAGCAAAAGCGACCGTTTGACTAAACACTGGACTAGCTATATTTAACAGCACCCGTATTTATCTAGAGGTCATATGTTGCGCAGCTCTGGGCAAATTTTATTTGGAGGGGAAGTGCCCAAAATGTAATGTGGTGATTGAAAGTGATGTATATATATCTCTGTACAT